TTTAGCACACTTGTTCACTTGATTGCACTAGAAGTAACACCTAAACCCTCTTATTTATGTATACAATGGATATTGTCTTACAATTGTGGATTGATCCTAATTTATCATCATTTGATAATGCTAGATATAATGAGTAAAAAATAAATGAAACAAGGTTCAAAACACCATGAAAAATGAAGCAAGATAACCATAGCTCGAAGTTCATATGAGACCAACATTCAGGCTCATTTCTTTGGACGAGCACCTCTCGACCAACGAGTTTGAAACAAAAATCTCACATTGAAAAATAAGACAAATTAATTAGTAAAATCACACATATCTCAATGAATGAAAGGAAGTTTAAAAACTACTTAAGCGTGAAGCATGCTCAATTTGCTGAGTGAGTCATGATTCGCTTAACAAATGAAGATGGAATAAAAAAATCTATAAATAAAAGATTAGGTTGTAAAAGAAGATATATCGTTTTTAGTATTATGATATTTTGTAAATAGTACATCCGTGAAAGAGAATTAAAAGGTTTGTAACGCCTGTGGCATGTCAAAGTGAGTTCAACAAAGAATTGAGAGATTGTTTGAGGTCATTCTACTCCCACTCCTTTTGCATTGCTATTGTTAGTGTGAGTCACTAAGTTCTCTTTTATCAGGATTAAACTTATACTATATTATGACATATATGTATTACTTTTTATCATGACGTTATAATCATTTTAGTTATTCAATCATATTAGTCGTAATTCACATGTTTAATGTTTGTTATATCTTGATCATGTTTGTGAATCTACCATGTTATTTAGAAGTAATCCTAGGTTTACACCAAACATATGTATTTATGCCTAAAATGACTTTATCATTTAGGACATGTTTTGTGAACTTAAATATTGATGAGAAACACTATATAAGTTTAAATCTGGAATATTCACCTATCAAATTCTAAACTCTAAAGATAGATTTATGTATGATATTCACGTATATTGTATACTCATAATGTTATTGTATTTTTTATTTTGTTAAGAGATTGTCGAATAAACAATACGATTAATATCACAACATTAATTCAAACATGAACAATGTTGTCTAGTAATATGTGATAATAAAATGAATTGATGGTTAGACTATCAATGTATAAACTCAATTTTATTTTATTATTGTGTTTAGTTTTGAAACACTTCTCAAAAGAACATTGAAATTCAAATTCACTTAAAATAGTAACTATTACTATAAGTTGTTTTATCGCTTCAGTCTATCTGAAGATAATATAAAATACTCACTTCATTGTATTTTTCTTTAAATAATATTAATGTATTACAAACATTATTAAAAAAAATGACCTCGTTGTCGGGGGTGGTGTTTAGACATTACAAGCTTATTAGTATTTTTTTTTATCGTAAGTTATTTTGTGAATTCTAATAGTATTGTATATGCATTTTTTGTTATTTTCCTTGTTATTGCTGACGTGTTTTCTAGTTTGCAATAAAATTATATATGTAAGGTAAATACCCATTACTATTTGATTATGAAATTGAAAGGACGACTCGCCGCAACTTAAGAAAGTTACAACAATACGATATTGACCAAGTGACTCCAAACACAAGACGACTCACCACAACCTTAAAAAATTAAAGCGATAAACTATTGATCCAGTGACTCCAAACACAATAGGTTAAGGCGGGGTATGTGTTTTGATGATTAAAAATCGAAATCCAATTATAAAAACTTTGTTGAATAAAAACGTTTAAGTTTTAATTTATAAAACAAACAGAGATTAAACAACGAAATAAGTAAATAGAAAAATATAAGAGAGATAGAGAGAAAGAAATACAATCGAAAGAAATAAAGAACAAAAAAATAAAGAGATGAGGAAAGACAGAAACACACAAAATATTTATACATATTAGACCTAACTACTTGACCTACTCATGTCTCTAAGAGTTTCCTCTAAAATGATTTTGAGTTTTTCAAAGAATTTACCCACGAACCTTCTTACAACCAAACAAAAGATTTTTCACAAGTTAATCTCCAAACCAAACATATATTTTAAAGGGCTAATCTCATGTACCAAACAAAGCTTTTACAAGGATGAGCTCAGGAAGTAAATAAAGTTTTACACAATCTAAGATGAATAAGCAAACATATATTTTAATAGGCTAATCTCAAGAACCAAACAGAGATTCTAACAGGCTAATCTCAAGACCAAACAAATATTTTACAGATTAATCTCAAGAATCAAATAAAGATGATATCGGGTTAAGCTCATGAACCATACACCAGTTCTTACAAAGATATTACATAATAGAAATACCCTATTAAGTAAAAGTTACAATATTAGCACAACATCAGTACAACAAAATTTTCACAAATATTTTTCACACTAAGGCAGTTTTGGTTAAACTACATAAAATGTAGAAGAAAAGAGAAGAAAGTGGTAAAGAGAGATTTCAAATATAAGTAATATTTATATATAAAAAAATTGGCTAAAAAAGAAAATGATCCATCGACATTTTTAATGTTCTAATCGATTTACACTAGTTAGTAATCGATTAGGCACGCCAAATATGGAAAGTTTTTGAGTTCTACCTTTATTAACCGGTTAAAGACTTTTATAATCTGATAGATGCGTTACAAATGTGTTAATAGATTAACTCTAATTTGATAATTGATTAACTACTGTAAAAAGCATTCATAATTGATTAAACAAGTCTGTGATCAATTAAGTACGCATATAAAGTGAGGCTTAGTGTGTGTGTGTGTGTGCGCGCGTGTGCACGTGTGCGTGTGCATGTGCGTGTGTGTGCGTGTACGCGTGCACGAACTTACTTAGTATCTTGAGAATTAATCTTATACATTTACATTAAACTAATAACCAAGACACATGCTAAGCGTAAAACAAGACGATCTTTTACATTTCCTCACTTTTACAAGTTTGGAGTTTCAAGTCCATTTGATATATTCATCGATGACTTAGCACTTCATATTGAACTTGACTCTTATAATTTATGAGGTTTAAGATAACTTTTTAATCAGATGCCATCATCGAAGATTGTTGGACAATTTTCACCAAAGACTTCACTGGACGTTGTTTGACATAAGGTGTTGTCATCGTTGATGTGGCTTGACTTTTGACCTCACAAAGAACATCTTGATTGTTGAAACATCTTGATTGATAAAGACTTCAATGAATGTTGTTTGATATAGCGATTGCAACAATTATTTTCGAACAAGATCATCTAACGATTGCAAACAAATACATACAATTTGAAACGGAAAAGACCTCAAAATGTCTCAAATATCAAGCAAATATACAACATTTGTGCCGTAAACAACAAGGCAATAAGAGGATCAAGAACTAATATTCAATAGTTGTTGAAGCTTCGGGATGATGATCACTATGTTTCTAGGTATAAATTGAGGGAGAATGAAGTCATTGTTCGAGATATATGGTGGACTCATCCTAATTCCATCAGTTGTTCAACACATTTCTCACAGTGCTCATAATTGATTCAACATACAAGATCAACAAAGTATAGGCTTCCACCTCTGAAAATTGTTGGTGTTACTTCGACGAAGATGACTTTTTCAATGGGTATTTCATTTTTTGAAAGCGAAAAAAATGACAATGTTACATGGATTTTGAAAGTGTGCAAGATTAAGTTGAAGAACCAATAAAACATGTCAAAAGTCATTGTAACTAGTTGCGATACTGCATTGATGAATTCTGATTTGCATTTTTAGACTCGCCCCATTTTAATTGCAAAAACTTCTTTAAAAAGGGGTAATTTAGAAATGCATATCCGTAGAAAACCTTATTTTGAAAAAAATAAAATAAGATGAGTGCGAAAATGCATATCTGAATTATCCTTTAAAACATGATAGGGACTCTAAGGTCCATAATGAACTAAAACTATATAAATATGGGGTCTTTATCTCATGTTTACAAAAACACATCAAACCAAAATGAATGAATATTTCCATCTTGAATTTATGTATTTCAACAAAATGGGAAGTATATTTTAAGGGTTATGAGAAGTATATTTTATAATTACACAACAAAGGATTCGATTAAAATGAATGCGGATGGGGTCTTTATCTCATGTTTACAAAAACACACCAAACCAAAATGAATGAATATTTCCATCTTGAATTTATGTATTTCAACAAAATGGGAAGTATATTTTAAGGGATATGAGAAGTATATTTTATAATTACACAACAAAGGATTCGATTAAAATGAATGCGGTGATTGCAAGATCGACCGAAGATATTCTAAAAATGTTGAAATGTCACGTACCATTTGTTCATAATGAAATGTAAACCATTTGTTCGTAATAAAATGTAATATAAAATTTATATTAATAATTATCTATGTAATATTAAGTATTTTAATGTTAATTTATGCTGTTCTATCAAAATTCTATGGTTGTGATAAAACATGGCATATTTCAAAAATGCAAAAATGCATCTCTGTGAAATTTCTTGACTTTATTATGAATGCATCCAGATATGCATTTTCAAAATTCATGCGCATTTTTTATTTTTCACAGCGCACCTGATAAGGTGTACAAAGTAGCCCCATAAATTGACAACTCTAGTTACATCCATATAAATCCATATAACTCAAGTGAGACATACCAATTTAAACTAAACATACATATATTTAATTAAACTTTTCCCTCACCTCTTTTGAACCAAATTTGAACCAAATTGACCCTAAACTCATACAATCTCTGCATCAAGGCCTCCAAGGCACGGGAGAAGAATAACTAACAAAACTTGAAATTAAGAGAACATGAAACATCTGACATATAAATTTCATTTCATTGAAGAGAGCCACAAGGTCTAGAAAAATAAAACTAGTAATGCAGTAATTCTAGAGGAGTTCATAAAAGATCTACCAGTTTCTTGAAGAGCAATCAAACTGAAATACCTAAGATAAATTTTAAACCCTCCTCACACAAAAATACAAAAACTCCAAAATGCATGCGTATCCTTGTTATTGGTTTAAACTTAAGCAGTCTTGCTTTCAAGAAGCTTCTCAATCATATCTGCTGCTTCTTGAACAGTGGTAATGGCCTGGGCACTTTCTTCTTCGACACTGATACCAAACTCCTCCTCAAGTCCCATCACAATCTCAACCTACATAAATAATCCAGAGAATAGTATATCATAAAAGATAAATAACAGATGCTTTATTCTCACATGCAGAATCATGCCCAAGTTTTGAATTAGGCAGCTTATGTGGTACAACTGACAAGGTGACAAGTGCTAGAAACAACTCAAAATACATTTTCATTACAGTTATCTATGTAGATTAAAGAATACATGTCAAAATGTTACTCTAACCAGGGAAGGGAAGGGAATTTAATAGCCTAACAGTGTTAATATGCATACTCTGTCACTACAGTAGTAGCTCCCTTACTTTTGTCGACGTGTCTTTGATAGTATTGTGTCTGGTGTTCCTGCTTTATAGGCATATGAGCCCATAAAACAACAATAGATACAATCCGATCAACTGTTGTGTCTTGTGAATGAATGTTTGAGTTACAATTTACGCCTAGACAAAAGAATTATGAATATGACAATACCGTGTCGAGAGAATCGGCTCCAAGGGCAGAAAATTTGGACTCTCCGGTAACCTCGGTCCCATCAGCCAATGCCAATTGTTTTTTGACAATCTCACTTACCTTAGTTACAGTTTCTGGTTTAGCCTGATGCAAAATGGTAAAAAAATCCACAGCGATTACATCATAAGAAATAATACAAATATAGTCCAAATAAGTACTACACAAAATCAAGAATTACAAGTACAAGCAATCCTTATTATTCCAGCAGAATAATATACTTTTCAATAAATTACAAGGATACCAATAGCTTTTGTCATAAGAAGAAATCAAAATCTCTTATTTGAAGCACTAAAACAAAACAACAAAGATAAAATAAAAATTGGTATATTTGTAAGGACTAAAATGAAATAAAATTACAGGACTAAAAACAAAATAATAGATTTAGCAGTACCAAAAATATAAATAAATAAAAGATAGAATTGAGCGAAGGGTTTTAGACTTACTGCACATGTAACTTGAAAGCGGTGTACCCTAGACTGCAATGTAAGTGACGGAAAAGCTCTCCCTTTAATCGAAAGGGAAACTGATTTTGCGTTAGAGAATCTGGAACCAGCACCGGACACCTGTTTTATATCATAAAAATCCAGATGAAACGGTTAATTGGATCGAATGGATTGGATAAGGAGAAGAGATGAATAGAATTGTTACCAGTGATGGTTGGAATGCGGTGACGGAAAATGAAGTTCCTGTGATGGAGGCCATTGTAGAGAGAGATCTGGAGTTAGAAAGAAAAGAAAAAAGGACGGAGGCGACGAAGAGTGTGAATTGTTGTTGTTGGAAAGAGAGAAAGAGAGAAGTGTGGTTTTTATAAGGAGAAAATGTTGGTTGTTGAGGTTGGCTTCGTTATTTTCGAAGAGCTTTTTTTTCCTTACACATTTTATCTTATGTGAAGTATGTCGTTTTCTCTCCGTTTCGTTTTTCTCGTAACTCGTAACGCCCGTTACCCCAACTAACCTTCTAGTCGGTGCATAATAGCATTCTCATTTTAATATATATATATATATATATATATATATATATATATATATATATATATATATATATATATATATATATATATATATATATATATATATATATATATATATATATATATATATATATATATATATATTACAAATTTCAAGGAATAAGGCAAAGATAGAAGAATGTCTAATAAATGTAATATATATATATATATATATATATATATATATATATATATATATATATATATATATATATATATATATATATATATATATATATATATATATATATATTACATTTATTAGACATTCTTCTATCTTTGCCTTATTCCTTGAAATTTGTAAATGAGTCTTTTTTTTTTATTAGGCTTTTAATGGACTTAGAAGAATTACTCTTAAAACTTGTCTTAAAGAGTCTCAACGGGGAATTTTCCAAATTTGATATTATCGCATAATTTTTGACATAAGTTTTGATTATAAAGAGTTAATAATATTGAAGATTGTTCAATTTTAACTTAAGTCGAAGTGGTCATTCCACTCTGAAATTAGAATGAGCATTCTTAATGAGTTGATTGCATCGATTGATATTAATGATTTTGGTTGAGATTCCAATCAGTTAATTAAAGACCAAAGATTTTGTTAGTTTTGAGAATTAGTGAAATTTAGAGTTTCCAAAAGGTTATTACTTCACGCGGTCGAACGAGACGTAAACGGATAAAATCAAACAGTTATCTGAGAACATATGGAAGCTTGTCGAGAATGAAGATTGCATGAAGAAGAAGACGTGACATAATTTTCTGAGCCCACTATTACAAATAGTTATGTTAGGACTAGTATATAAGTAGTGTTCACTTATAGTTTTAAGGGTCCACAATTTTACACAAAATCTGTAAACTCAAAGTATTAGTGTGTGGTGAGAAAAGAGTTTTGAGAATGTATGTATATGTGTTTCACTTTATTAATTGAATTCTTTACTTTCAAGTCATTTATTACTTTTAAAGTTATTTTTTATTTTTCTTTCATTTTTGACTTTAATGTCAAATAGTTCAAATTTTCACACAATATGTCTTATGATCTTTTCGAGTTTAATCCCTTAAATAAACTCAAACTTGGTTTCGTTTACCGAATTTTCCAGCAAACAAATTGGCATACCTGGTGGGACCCTCTGTGTGAAAATTTACATTCTTCTTTTAAGATTTGCATAAGTTCTTCATTCATGAAACTTCTCAAATTTGTGAGTGTGCATGAGATTGAGGAGTGATAAGATGACCAAAAAAGACATTAGAAAACCGACGAGGAGATACGTTAAGAGGATGGATAATCCTAGAAACAACAATGGAGAACAATCATCCAATAGCACGGGGGCAGGCACAGTCGCTGCAAATTTGACTGAACCAGACGCCTTCATATCGAGCACGACGACCATATCGTCGATTGCATAAGAAAGGATGGTATTTCCCCCCTCAATACTACAAAGTTACCCTATGACTCCTAGACCGACTATGGCCAGTGACTTGAAGTCTTTTACCATAAGTTTCGCAATGTCTATGCCTGGTCGCGAACAACCTTATGGCATGCCAACATCAATGATGGAAAAACTTGCATAAGAACGCTTCGACATTTGCTGGCAATGCTGTAACTGCATGTTTTCCACTATTAGTATCAAGATCAGCTATAGGTAACCCTAGTCGAATAATGCATCCCTAATTAGGGATGTGATTCAGTTCCCAAGCGATGCAAACGTTCACCACAAATTCTGTGACGACGATGAGACAACAAATGGACGAAAGTAACCACGATATGGTTAACTTTCTTACCCGACAAATGGATACTATCCAACCCTTTAATTCAAAATACTAATCGGAGTTACCAACAATTGGCAACTCAAATGAATGAAATTGTTGATTTCTTTGCCGCTAGTTTAACCAATTATACAATCCCAAGTGGTTGGGCCAATTCAAAACGAGGGAATAATCCTTGAAGAAAACACAATAAATTAGGGTCAACAATTTGTGCCTCATGTAATCGAACAACAGAGGCTTGGAGAAGTCGATCGACTGCCAATTTTAGTGGTTAATAGAAATCAGGATGCCGGCTAAGTGGTTCATCAAGTCCAACAAGAAAACCTGGTAGGAGAGAATAATCTTGCAGCCATAGTCGAAAGAATAATGGCGCAAAATGGTATGAGTTTAGGCTTGGAAAGGCCAAATTTTATATGTTCCCATTGTCGGGGTACGTTTTACATACAAAACTCCTAAGGGGTTGGAAAGTCCCTAAGTTAACCAAATTTGCTGGTGACACTAATGAATCTACAGTCGAACATATCACTCAATATTTGACTAAAGCGTGTGATATAGAAAATAACGAGAATTTGAGGATGATATATTTCCCTAATTTTCTTACAAAGAACGCTTTTACGTGATTTACGATGCTCCATGCACATTCCATTAATAATTAGACTCGTTTAGAAAGATTATTCCATAAACAATTTTATATTGGACAATCTCAAATCGGCCTGAAAGAGTTGTTAAGCGTGAAGTAAAAGTTCGTTGAATCGATCAACGATTAGCTAAATAGGTTATGACTTTTGAAAACAAGGTGTTTTACCCAAGTGACTGAGCACGAACTAATTGAGATGGAAGCTAGGGGTTTAGACTATTCTATTAGAAAGAATTTGGTTACACAATATATAAGGGGTATGGCCCAACTGGCGAAGAGGGTTTGACAAGTCGAACGGTCAAAGGGTGTGAAAGCCAGAGCGGACATAAGTAAGAAGGAACGCGTGAATTATGTCGACATGGATGACAATGACCAAGGGTATGATGTCGAATATAACCATGTCGAATGGAACAAGATCGATTTGACCGAGTAGAAGCCAGGACCCAGTAAATAGGAAGAACCTTGTTGAGCCTGAAAAGAGTGATAAATTCCCCAAGAAAACCTATACTTTCGATGTGACCAAATGTGATGAGATATTAGATTTATTGGTTGCAAATGGACAAATATTAGTGCCACAAGGCGCGAAAGTGCCACCATTAGAACAAAGAAAGACCATAGGTTTTTGCAAGTATCATAATTTTTTGGAGCATAAAACTTCACAATATTTTCTTTTCAGGGATCTTGTCCAAAGTGCTTTGAATGATGAAAGGTTGAAGTTTGCTAACAAGAATAAGGAACCTATGAAGATTGATTCTGACCCACTGAGTTCAAAGAGGCTCGCTATGTGGAATCAGTGGAGATCAACATGGTCAAAATTACTGAAGATTTCGACATGGTGTCATACCCCAAAATTTGCCCTCCCCTTTCACTTTTCATCTAACTTTTGTCTTTGATTCATCTAATTCCTCATAGGTGTAACACCCCAAATATAACCCAACGAATAATTAAGGAAAACAGAATCAGAGTGCAACAAATTTTGAAAACATGACGGTCGTAAGGGGACTGCTACGACCGTGACGGTCATGACGATCGTGAGGAAATTGTGACGAACGTCACACTCACAAATTCTGGGCGTTACAATTTCAACTCAAATAGCCGGTCATACATTTGCAATTATTTTAGTAACATACATAGCACAGATTAGGATGAACAAACAACAATAGCTTGATTAATATTTTGAAAATGCGACAACCCGTCATTTGGCAGCAGAACCTAAATGGCTTCCAACAATTCATAATAAATTCAACAGCTCATAATAAATTCTTTTAGTTTCAACCGTAAAATCAGTAACAAGGAAAATCAACTAAAAACAACACAAATAATCGTTCATCCCTCCCCAAGAGTGCTACGTGTCAGAGCGACCGACGGCACCTTACACGACGCGACACCTTATTCCAGGTTACCTGCAAGTCACCCCCAACGGAGGTAACATACAACGTAAAGGGTGAGATATCAACAATATAACATATGGCATGATAAAAATCATGTCAGAAATCATATCACAGCATTATAATCTTCGCAAATTTATAAACATTATCTACAATAAACTGCAAGCAAATCCATATCTCATATATACAACGATGATTACGAAAATTCAGCAACCATCATGACTTACAATCAACACCACGATGCGACCTCATGCGACTCAACTATGCACATGCATGTGGTACCATTTCGGAGTAAAACTCCACAACCAATTCATTTGCCATCAAAGGCTGCCAATACAGGCACAACCAATGCCAATACAGGCACAACCAAATGCCAACACAGGCCAACCAAAATGATATGCCATGAAATGCATCTATTATGGACTACAACACAACCATAACAACCATACAACAAGGCTTTTAGCCTACAGCCATACTGTCCATAACAGAGCATCATAATTTCATACAACTCATGAAATCATCAATTTCCACCTGTTCATATACGAGAACAATGACAACATACTTTTGACAATTACAAATTCAACACATTATCGTAAGAACAACATTACAACTTTTACTCACTAAATTAATTATAGTTTCTGACAAGGTTCGTTAACTACGGGGCAACTAATCTTGCCCAATTAAGGGCAACCATACAGCATCGTACAAAACTAACGATATAACACATTCATTCCTACACAGACAAACCTCGTCCCTAACATTTATCGATTAACGAAAACTATATCTATGATTCGATTCCCTACCTGAATTCGATCATACCTACGGTTATAGAATTGAACCCCACCTTTACCTTAGAATTGAGGCCAACTATACGCTTCCAGCTCTGGTTCTGCTCTCCGGCGACTTT